ATTTGATATCATTTAAATATTGCCTCTACTTGCACTGGACCAGAATCAGCCTTATTGTCCTTTTCCTCTCCAAGCTGGCTATAAGGCGAAAGGGAGAAAACTTTTTTCATGCACCCAGAAATAAGCAAAAGCCAAACAGCCCCACTGTTCCTGTGCCCGGCTTTCCATTGCCCGGGGAGAAAGTAGGACACAGAGCAAACAAAAACTGCTCAACAATCCCTCTCTTGCAAAGAAGAGGCCACCAAAGCAAAGGCAGCTGCCCAAGGTGTTCCCAGATCATAACAAAATTGTTCATGGAATTGTAGGCAATAATGGAATTAGAGAGAACTGAGTCAAAACACCTGAGCTGAAAAACTATGCAATGTAGTTCAGTACTTTCCATTGAGAACTTTTTACTTAACTTGGCTGCTCCCCCAAATCATATGAGTCTTCCAGATCACATGTCAGGATACGCTATCATCTTAAGTAGCTTAGCCAAATTTCTTTGCCTCTACATCCAAGAGCAGAAAAAGTACTTTGCCCCTTCCACCATTCTGCTTCCTGGTGCGATTACAGCTTTTTCCTCATACCATATTGCTGTCTCATACCATATCGCTCCCAGCTGAGGAAGACAGCACATTCTTACGTGATAAGCAACTGCTTTCTCCTATTTTAGATCTAAACTTCAACCCAAATTGATATGCAATCTCTCTCTACATTACCAAAACTTTCCAAGCCCTCCCTTCCCTGAACTGCTATCTTTGACTTGACTCTGGTATTAGTTTGATTTCTCAGAGGAAGGACAGAAAGCTTTTACACTGTAATGTGTCATTAAAATACATGGCACCCCATCCAAACACTATTAATAATCTCCATGCAACACAGCTCTTTATATGAAATAGATGCAGCACGTAACTAATTTTTCCAGATTCTATAGGTCTGTGATCATGCTAATCTGTTTCACATGAAGGACTCATGTCTTTATTTTTAGATGAGATGACTTAAGCAAATGTCTATGTTTAGAACACAGAAAAACCAACCAAGGCAGACAGATACTGGACATATATGTATGAAACTGTAAAGCCTGAAAAAGACTTGGAAAAATTCTGTAACTGGAGTGCTACTGAAATATCCTGTAACTCCTGCTTCACTTTTATGTCTCTATATACAGACATAGATATATATCCCATTAATGAAATCCAATCCTAAAGGGACCTGGCAACCAAAAGTAGTACAGCAGTTTTTGACATTAAAATAAAGCGCTCTCTCATACCCCTCTGTAATTTAGAAATGAGATTTAAATTGCATATAAGTTTTTCATAATAATGGGATCTTTTCACCTCCAGATATTTTTGTCACTGTTAAAACTGAACTACACAACTCCAGAAGATAAAGTGCTCCCATGTGTAACCGTCATCCTCAAAATTACAAATGAAAACATATATTAAAACCAAACAAAACTCAGAAATGTATATCTGATTTAGCTCACCATTGTAGTCCATATAAATTTAGATTACATCTACTAATAGGAATCCTTTGTCTAGTTTTCCATTTATTAAATATTCACAACCCAAAAGAAAAAAATTGCAGTAAATAATGTGCTCCTTTATTTATCTTTCTAGAAAAAAGATGAGGAAAAGAAAAAATCCACACTTTCTAGTACTTTAAGCATCTATGATAGCATTAATTTCGGTCCAGCAAACTTAAACCCCATTTCTGACATGCATCTTTCTTTTTTTGAGAGTGAAAGAAATAGGCCAAGTTCCATCAGCTCAACGGGACTGAATATAGAGCAAAGATGCAAGATAAGGCTTTAAGTAGGACTAACAAAGGAACCAGCACTTTCCTCTGAAAGAAAAAAAAAATTTTTTAGTATTATGCCATTTTCTGAAGTGTTGGCACTTGTAGGAAAGGGATTCAAACAATTTAAACATTTTGATATGCCAAAATATTACTAATAATGGCAAGAAGTCTTCTATGGCTTAGTGATGTACCACTCACAGTGGTGCTGTTGACTTACATTTTCCATGTACAGCTCTTAATTTCATTTAGCAATCTTAAACCCATACATCTTTGTACTGAATTGACAAGTCTACATACGTTAATCTCTCATAGGAAAAGGCCTATTTACTATTGGTGGAAGTATGCTTGATAGAGAAGATAATCGAAATTCAATTTTGAAAAGTTTTACCAAGGTGTGTGTGTTTTGGTTTTGATTTGGTTGTTTTTGTTTAAACTCAAGACACATAATCTAAATTCAAAAAATCGAATGTGCAAGGCAAAAGCAGCACTGTGCCAAAGGTACAGTATTGGTCATGACACTCCAGGTATTTTAAAAGCAATTTGTACCTCAGTAAAAGTGCAACATCTCTGGTTCCTTCATACCTCTGCTCTCCAAATCTCAGTATGCTTTCCTTGATCAATTTGATTTAATGATCTCCTAATAGCCAGAATAACTTAATTCATAATCATACTGGATTTTTGTCTGGAATCATGCTTCCTGCTGGTATCAGCAGCTGACAAAAGGGAACAATCTCCTGAGACATGCCACACCGAGGAACAGTTAATGATGACTTTGACTATCTTTCTGTTTTGTTAGGCCAGTCCTTCAGCCAGGGCTCTCACTTCTGCTTCAGCCCTGCACACGAGGCAAAAAGGCAGCCGCAGCATAAAACAATTCCAATAAGCATTTCATGCAGGTAGAATTCCCCAATGTGGGCACCGGGGAACACATCTACAACATTTTCAGAAAAAGGCACATTCATGCAAGCTCTGGCACAAGGGGCAGACCAACAGCGTAGCTGTAGCACTGGCACAAAAGGCAGTGTAAGGAGGTTGCTAAAACTTATTTTCCACTCTTTTGAGCAAGGCAGATTCCATCTGCTGGGAGTAGTTCATCAAAACTGCCATTCCCATTGCTCTGGTCTGGGCAGCAGAATCCCGAATGACAAGACAGACACTGCGGAGCTGCTCAGAGTTAACAGTAACTGCCGGGCTCAAGCAGCAGCTTCCGAGGACATTGTTCACAGGGTACAATAAAGATGTAAGACTGTTTAAAGCTGTGGTAAGATGAAAAAGAGGTTTTGGGTTTATAAATGAAGACTTAGACAACTTCCAGAATAACAGAAAGAGGAAGATTTGTTTGAAGACAGGTTTTTCCTGTGGAGGGGTTTGAAAACAATGCACATTTCAAGAGAAGAGGTTCTTGCACAAACCTCTGGGAGATAATAGGCAAACTGTAAGCACTACTTGCTAGACTGTGTTTTCTAAGTTTTTTTTCTGCTAGACACTGACTGTCTGATATTCAGTCTCCTTTTACTAACATTTTTACCAGATACTTCATGAAGAAATAAAATCAGTGACAATTGCACTGTGACTTAACTACCCAAATGACATACCATTTCCTGAAAGTCAGTTTCTTAGAGGATTTAAAAAGGAAAAAAGGAGAAAAGAAAGAGGTTCCTGTGGTCTATGTGGAGTCAGAAATCCTAAGTTCAGCTTTGGCATCAACTCCCACCAAGGCTTTCCAGAGGGCTGCATGGGATTACATTTTCAAAAGGACTTAAAAGGATTAGGAGCACGTCTCATTGTTAAAAGTGATTTAGACTAATGAGCTTAGCATTGCTCAATGTAATGCTTCATGGTCGAGTCCAGTGAGGGGTAGGGCTCTCCCACAGCTCCTGGCAGATTTAGATGCGACGGTCTGAACTATAGCAACCCTGTTTTCTACAGCTTTCTGATAGAGGTGACTGGCCCCGACCAGGAAAAGCAGACAGGGACGCCCGCCTTAGCCCAGCAGGTCAGCAAAAACCATCGATGGAGCAAGCCTGTAGTAACAGGCTGGGTTGTGAACTTGAGCAGCACCCCTTCTGCTGCTCATGGCACAACTGTGAAGCAGAGATGAAAGAGTACTTTCTGTGGCTGCAGACAGATTCACCAGAGGCCATCATCTGTCAAAGGTCACAAGCTTCTAAGTACCCCAGACACTTCTAAAAGCTGAGGTGGGTGCCCTTGACAGTGGCATGCAGCCTCCCTGTGCCACATTCTCTTCTCTTGCTCTAGTCTGTGATTTCTTTCTTGTTTTAGTGTGGAAGTTTTTTTAGGGGAGGGAGAGGTAAGGCACACAGAATACTTATCAAAGGAATTGAAGTGTTTTATTCAGTGTGCACTTTTGCAACAGAAAAAATATTTTAAAAAATTTGGATGGATCATGGTATACTTGACCTAAATTGTTCAGTGCTGTTCCTGCATTTTATGAGAGACTGGAAATAACTCCTAAATGTGTAAAATTTTGAACATGAAACATGAAAACGGATATGCCTATTCATGAGCTACAGTGTTTACATTCTGAAAATTAAGTTGACATTTTCTGATGCTTCGTTTTCTATTGACAATAAGTCACCATACCACAGAAATGGGGGCTTGAAAGGGGAAGAGACATTTCATGTAACATAACAGTCTGTGAACTTTTGTGTTGAACGGGGTACATAGGAGTGCAATTGTGGCCTAATAGTTATATTAGGCAGATGTTTCTGCTAAAACATTTAGCATTAAAGGAGTTTCTAATGTAAGCTTTCTATTACATCATCATTTAAAAAATGTCAATCAGTGTTTTGATGACCTCTAGCTTTGCAGGTTAGTCTTGGTACCTTAGTACCTAAGTACTCCAAACTCCTAAAAAATGCCCTTTATTCAATCACAAATCAAGTATCAAATTGCAATGAATATGCTGTGGTAAATTGGCTGCTTTCTCAGGACAGCTAAAAAAGGTATATAAATCCCAAGCCAAGCCATTCAGCCCACATATGTGGCCCACAAATAGATTTTCGCACCAAGTTCTACCTGCTCACGCTTTTTGCTGGCTCAAGACCTTACTTTTTACCCTTTCAAAGCTCCATTTAAGTCAAGACAAATATTGTCTGAATTAAGGGCTGAGTAAGAAATGAATATGGACCCTTACTTCTGGACAGCCATTAGTACCGTTCTTTTGCCATTGCAATTCTAACCCAATATGCTATCTGTTGTTTGAAGCTCATCTCATTACAAGTTTCCTAGGAAACAAATTTAGGAGCACACAGACATTAATAAGAATGCAGCCTCAGGTAAGTTTGGGTTTGGATGATGGAATAGCACTGTCCGTCAATTTGCTTATGTTCACCAAACCTATTACTGAAACAGATCCAAAGCTGAGGAGAAAGAATGAAAGGTCTGCGCTGTATGTTCTTTGTTCACAGCACACCTTTGCCTTTGTTCAGAAAGCCAGGGAAACTTATTACTTCTGAAAGTATGTTTTCTTTTTTCTGAGCTTTAAGTGGATGGCAGTTATGACAAAACCTGTCAGGGTTGCTGCTGTGCCAGAAACCACATAGGCAATTCCCAGGAATGGGTTACTTCCTCCGCTCCATACCACAGTTGAAAGAATCACGTGCTTCCTCCCCTTGAATTTGGTAACAGGAAAATCTGATAGAAGGATGTTAAAGTTTCACTAACAAGTAAGTTTACATTATTTCCAGGAGGAGGAAAAGTAGCGGTAAATGCTCAAAAACCTTTCCAAGGCATAAAGAGTCTGGAGAGATGCATTTGCTGCAAAAATTCCTTTAACTAATCTGTGATGTCTCTGCTATTCTGGGTCCAAAATCCCAGTAGCAGCTGGTGGTAACAACTCCAGTTATTTTAGATACAGTCTCTGTGTGACCCTGGATATCCTTTCTTGTACATTTTAAATTTCAGATTCTTAACTGCTACTTTGTTAATTTGCTATGAAAATTCAGTTGAAAATTAGCCTTTTGGGCATCTTATGATGATGCTCCACATATTCTCACTGAGGGGAAGTGCTCACTTCTACTTTACATGTTGTCTACCCAGAATATTATATGATTTTACCTTTCATCTCTCCATGTGGAAGCTTTCAGAATAGAACAGTGCTACAGCATTTAAAATCATAGCTCTATCTGCTGAGAGAGAAGAGAAATTTATAGTCGTCTTGACATAACTCCTGCTGACAAAACAACTGCTTTAGTCACTGTATTGGGTCTGGCTGAGGCGGAGTTAATGTTCCCCACAGCGCTGTGCTGCGTACAGGCACCAGCAAGGTGTTGGTAACACACCGGTGTTTTGGGTGCTGCTGAGCAGCGCTGGCACAGCACCACGGCTGTGTCTCTCCAACAGCCCCCTCACCAGCAGGCTGGGGGTGGGCAAGGTCTTGGGAGGGGACACAGCCAGGACAGCCGACCCCAACTGACCACAGGGATATTCCATACCATATCACGTCTGCTCAGCAATAAAAAGCTGAGAGGAAGGAGGCGGCAGTGGGGGCATTCATTATTTATGACATTTGTCTTCTGGAGCAACTGCTATGTGTACTGAAGCCCTGCTTCAGTAGTGGCTGGACATGGCCTGCTGATGGGAAGTAAAGTAAATCTTTTGGCTTTTTTCCTTTGCTTCCATGTGCAGCCTTTTGCTTTATTAAACTGCCTTTATCTTGACTCATGAGGGTTTTTTCCATCTTTTATTCTCCCCTCCCTGTCCTGCTGAGGAGGGCAGTGATAGAGCGGCTTGGTGGGCACCTGGTGTCCAGCCAAGGTCAACCCACCACAGTCAGCAAAGTTCACACTGTTCAGCATGAGAATGCATTTTCACCAGCACAAAAGTTCCTGTCAGCACATGGTTCAAATCTGCCAGAGGGCTCTGCTGACACAGGCATCCCACACAGCTCTCAATGACAGCTCTCAATGGCAGGGATACCTCTGGCACTTCTTGCACCCTAGTAAGGGTGTCTACATATCTGATTAGGCCACCACTAAGTATTTCAGCTAAAACAACATCTTCAACCATCTCTTCAGCTTCCCACTCTTCAGTTTTACCCTTTGTGTAAAGCTCCCACGTGCTGTCTGCAGCCAAAAGTAGTCCCCTCAGAAGTTAAATTCAATGTCATGTGCAGCCATTTGAGTGACAGGTCTTAACTCTGTTTGCACAGGCTCAAGAAAAAACACTTGTAGTGTCTTATCACCCTCAAAACCAGGTCTTTTCAAGGTGATTCAGTTTGGGGTGTTTTGCTCGGTTTCTTTGCTGTTTTACTATACAAATCCCATCCACTTCCATCTGGTTGTAACTATCTAATAGTTAAGGAGTGTCTTGGATAATATGAAAGGATACTATAGGAAATATGAAAAGTATAGTTCCCTGCTGGGAGACCACCTGCAAACTGCCTTATCCGTCTGACACGACGGTAAAGATTTCTGAATGTAGCAAAGGCCGACACTCGCATCCAGATAATGAAGTCATCGTTTACATAACCATTGTTCCTTTCATCTTCCTCGTCTAACAAATATACTGGTTTCTGCCAGTAAGGAGGTCTTGCTGTCCCTGGTGAAAAAGAAAGGAAAGACATACTGTCAGTAGAATGGTGGCTGGTCACTAACTTCTAGGCCTACTCACAACCAAGGCAGAATATGAGATATGAGACACAAGACACGGTGCAGTACTGAAAAATTCTATATGCTAGATAACACTTTGCACCCAAGCATCTCCGCTCACCTCAAACATAAATGAACAGAGTTTAACAGTACCCAGGGGTTGCTACACATTAGAAAGCTCAAGCACAGGAAAAACAAAGCAACTTGCACAAATGAAAATACTATTTATTCTGGATTCTTGCTTTTTCAGCAAGCAACATACACTCTATAATGAGGAGCTTGCCTTCATTTTTATACATTAATTTATTCCTGTACAATCATAAAAGCACCTTTTTCAGCCTAATGGCACAGTCTATAATATTTAGAATTTGCCACATGAAAACTACTTAGATAATTAATTCTTGCAGCTTACATCCAGCACAGCACTGCCCTGATCCAGAATAGGGAGCTTTTAGTCCCACTTCAATACAGATTAACCATAACAAGAAAACAGCCCTAGGAAACCAGTGGAACCATTCTTACCTGCAAACGCAGAAGAGAGATTGCATGATTTTGGATTGCGAAATTTCACATTTTTATCTGTCCACCAACTGTTTCCAGTCTTCAGCAGTGGTACTTGAATAACAGATGAGTTAAGATTGTACAAAAGATGAATAGTATCTGCAGGGAATACAAAAAACAATACATATGAGTAAAAGTCAGTCATTCTAATGGCCAGCATGAGTAACAAAAACTGACACATTGAAGGACTTTTCAAGTGAATAGAGAACAAAAAAGATCCTGGGAAGGGTTTCATCATGACTGTGTACAGATCATTGTACACTCCGCAAGAAGAATGAAGCTTCCAGAGCCTTAGAACCTCTGAAGTTTCAAAGATTAAAAAAAATCCTACCAATAATGCTACTGCATCTCTATGTAGAAATATGTCCAAGTACCTTGTGTCCACAAATTCCACAAAATCTTTTGTGGAAGAAAAACAGAGATCATGCAAAATCAGGACTCAGCTGGATTAGGCTAACAGAATAGTTTCAAGAGAATATTAGATGTGGAAGGTACCTACTTACCATTGAACATGCTGTTGGCAATAGCACCACATGGAGCCATGGGCGTCCCATTTTGGTAGGTGATGAAGGGTGTGCAGTAACTCTTCTGAATCTGCATTCAAGGTCACAGAACAATGAGGCACAGAACCTGAGGGGTTTGTGTCGGTTTGCTGGTGTTAATGTTCTCCTCTCATTCCTTCTTCTGAAAAGCCACTGAATAATTAAGTCTCCAGTACCTTTTGGTCACATTAGAGATACATCCAAATGAATGGGTTTGTACGTGAGGAACACCTCCCATAGCATGGTAAATAAACTTAGGGTCTTCAGCAAATTCTGCTGTGGACTTGCAAAATCCAGACTACAAAAACTCATTTGGAGATCTATTGCTGTAACATATCTGCAATTTAAAATGTTCCAGTGAAGCCCTGAGTTACCCTAGAACATATTATTTTTCCTTCTTTTTAATTCTGACCTGCGCTGCTTCAGTGGTGGAGAACAGCAGATGCAGTTAGCCACATTACTGCAGCTCTGTGTGGGGAAATCTTGATGTATGAAGATAAAGCATGAAAAACAAAAGCCCATCTCAAATTTAGCACGTCTCCGATTTCATGAAAAACTATAAATCTTCAGGTTTAAACACAGAAACATTTTCAAATAGCTCTAAAAAGCCGCGTATCTGATTGGCACACAAGTCAAAAGCGGTTGCACCTGGATGCAAACAAACAAGCTGACTGGACACCTGGAGAAGCAGATTTACAGGGAACATATCTTGAGAGTTACAAGAAGCATTTTATAGAAACAACAGATTATTGTGGCACAATCATCATATGTACTGAGAGGGCAGTGTGTGGACTGTGTGTACATTAAGAAATACTACTTTTAAGCCAACAAAAACATGTTTTAGATTTTTAAGTACAAAAACTGTAAACGCAATGATTGCATTCTGCAATTTCCTTATGCAGGCCTGCTGCAGATGATGCTGTCTAGCCTCCTCTTTAGACCTCTAAGTTGCATACCTGAATGCTACATAATCACTTATTTCACCATAAACCTTTTCCTGCTTCTTGTCTGCTTTCAAAGCCAGATGGCAAAATGAAAGATTTAGAATAACTTAATTCCCTAACCCTGTAATAAAAGCACAGCTTAAAACATTTCTGGCTAAGATGACTGAAAACACAAGAAGGAAAAGCTTTCTGTAAATTTAATTGAAAAAGATGATGTATTTTTAATCAGCATCCCTACAAGGTGTAGATTTGAGAACTGCAACACAGGGCTGACATCTTTTATTTATCCCCTCAATCTTTCTCTCTTATTAACTTAATAGAGGTAATGGCCCTAACAATCATAAAAGCAGAGAGCAAACACTGAAAATCTGTACCTTCTTATTATTCCCTAGAGCCATCTTAACACACTTACAGTTATGCCTAGTTAGCTCTCCATATGGTCAAAGATGCACCTGATGGAAATACTGACGATCTCATAATATAAAGAAAACTTACATTTACATTTCGACCCAACAATTGTGCATCACTTCTTGATATCACATATCGACGGTGGTTCTGATAGAAGTTTTGCAGGCCGTAGTACATAAAAACGTCACCCTAGAATTCAAGGATAAATCCCTTCAATAAGATGAATTCATGTAGACAAAGAGAAGTCCTATTACTTGCTAAAAAGAGAGGGGAAGAGAGTACTCAATTCATATTGAAGTGTTGGTAACTACATTCCAAGCAATTACTTCAGCGGACACTGGCTACAATCTAGTCTTTACCCCAACTGAAAGTTTTAGTATTTTGGCACAAAATTAAACATACTTTAAATCACCAAGTGAAACCTAGAATAAAAATGCCTGATTATTATTTTACTCAAGATTGTAGTGGCTCGCAAGGAACCTACAATGACTATGAATAATTTGGTGGAGACATCATTTCTCATAAAAGGAAGGTGCACAAACAACTTCAAAAAGTAGCCGTTAGCTCTTAATTCCTTCAGATTTTTTGAAAAAAAACCAAGGCTGCCTCTCATCAATTATTTGAACCCTTTGGAAAGTTTGGTCCTGTAATTAAAAGGAGAATGCTAGGCAGGCAAATACAAGCCAGAAAGAGGATAATTAAACTATTAAAAAAAACATTATTCAGTTAAATATCTCATCTCAAACATTACCGTATTTGAAGAATTACAGAGTATTTTAACAGCCTCCTCAATACTGAAGAACCTTAAAGTGACTTTATAATTTAAATTGCACCATAATTTTAAGGGATCATTTATGTAGTACTAAGCATTAGAACATAAAGCATTTTAACAGTTTCAGCAACATAACCTGGCAGTTTAGGTCAGGAAATGAAGGTTACTTTTCCCAAATGAAACTGCCGAATGACATTGCTAGACTTGAATTATTTGAAGGACCTTGGGGATTAACAGCATAACTCCTGTAAAAAAGACTACAGGGGTTTACTTATGACAAGTGGTCAGAGCTTCAGATTTCCTTTTTATTTAAGAGCTTAGCAGTGCAGTAACAATTAACCCCAGGCCAAGGGTGAGGATTTACTACTGACTCAGAGAGATAACAGAGAGAAGTCACCTCCACAATCAAACACCATTTCCTCCATCCCAGTCTTCTCCTTGGACGACTCCCAACCAAGCACAGAGGCAGCCTGTTTATTTTTAACATACACCAAAATGAATAGCAAAGGCACAAGTGTAAAATTTTGAATGTTTCATGCTTTTAAAAAGTACAAAGAAAATTTAGTCAGGAGTTCTACAAAGCAGAATTAGTGTATTTTCTCATATAAGGATATAAGTAATAGGAGGCACTAAGCAATGTGAGTTGGTTTCTCACATCCACTCACCAATATATCTTCCTTTAGCGTGAAATTAACAAAACAGTGGCATTCCTTATTCCAATTAGAGGAATTTTCACGGAGTTTTGAACAATCTGAGCATTTATCTGAATAATCAATCTGTCAAGAGAAGTGAACAAGCAGAGATGTTGTAATAAAGGACATGCACACAGGAAAAGGTTAGTGTTTTAGCTCCAAGACTTCTCAGAGCAGTTGTCTTAAATGACTCTGGACTGCCAAAGACATTGTTAAAATTTGACAAAGGTACAGAATCAGGACTTGGCCTCAATGAACATTCACAAATTTTACCCCTAGTTTAAAGCTGGTTTAGAGCCTTTTGATGACTGTTGCAGAACCTCCACATCTGCTCCTCGGCAAACGAGTGCCGACTGAACAATGCTTCTGCAGCTTGGTCTGGCTGACCAAGTAATGCTTGACAAATCCCTACATGCATTATGGCCCACCTCTCTTTAACAGCCTGGATGTAGTGCTGAGCATTGGCTCCAACGAGAATTCTAGTAAGAGCACCACAGGTTAAGCCAGCCTTGCCTCCAGGAGGCATTTAAACATCAAGGCTCTCTGCATTTTATGATTTTGCCCCAGCAAACATGTATGTTCTAGTACCAAACACTGTCAAAGGGATTAGTTTATTTCCCTTCAAAAACCCAGGAAATAAGGACAACATTTCAGATATTACCAGCCAGTGGCAGTAGTACCACCCATATGCAAGATATTACCACCCAGTTAACCACCCAGTGCTCAGCTTTTGTTGGTGACCAATTATCTCTGAAGATTTTCACAGGAATACTGGCTGCTGGACACACGTCCAAGGCATGAAGCCATTGCTATCATCTTTATCCAGAATTAAAAGTTCAAAGCCTTTTCCCTCCAAATGTAGCCCAGTTTCCTCTTCACAGAATATCTAAGAACACCACCGCCAAACAAACCTGGATTTCTCTGACGCTGTTTGCGGACAGTATGAGGCAGACTCCCACAGAAAGGCAGAAGGTGCCTATGAGAAAGAAGCTGGAGAGCACAGTCGCAATGGTAAGCTGGGGCTTCCAAGCTGGTAGCTTCTGTTGTTTGAATGCACTGTTATCCGGACATCGGGAAGGATGTGCCTCTCCTTCTTGTGGAATAAAACTCGTCTTGCTTTTCATTTTCTTCTTGGTGAGAGGAAGGAATAATATACTTGTGCTGGAGGGTGTTTAAGCTGAGATACTGTCTTTACCGTTGGGAGACTGGATTGTTTGTTCAAACCTGCATTATGGCCAGGAATTACTTATTAACTAGATCTCTCTCTTCCTCATTTTCTACATTTGTGCCTGGATCCCCATGATCAGCTTGTACCAATCAAATGTTTGTGTACTTTGATCAGGGTGTCCAGCTCATGCCTCCTGGGAAAGCTTATATATATATTTTTTTTCCTGCTCCACAATTTGGTAGGATTTATGTCTTACTCATTTGCAGGGATACTTCCAGCTATACTGGAATTTCTGTGTAACCTCAGATGCATTATTTCTTCTCCCTTCACTTCCATAGCTGCCCAGCTAACAGGCACAGCATACAATGAAAGGAGCTCTACTCCCATTGCACTGGATGCCACTGGGGAGGACTGCAGGTGCTGAGACAGCACTGGACAGAAAACACTGCTTTGGAAGACCAAATCAATTTTCTTAACCTACTACATCAATTGCTATTGATTCAGATGTAATTTAAAGTCGCAAAAGGTTACATGTTCTTTATCAGAAAAAAGCAACTCATTCTCAAAACATCTGATTTGGATCAACTGTTTTCCAAGATGCTGATGATTTGCTCACATCTATTCATCTTGTCCTCTGAAAAAAATCCATCCATTCCCTACTATCCACAATGACAAAAGAATTACCCAGAGATCATATCCTTTTAATTTAAATGGACAAACAGAAGAATATTTTTTGCACACTTCAACAGTTTAACCAAAATAAAGTCTCAATATAATATACTGATAATTTATCATGTCATAGCAAAAAATAGCGTTTGGCCAGCTGCAGAACAGATGGGTAAAAAATACCTTTATGACAAATTACTGAAATTCATACAACGTTTTCAAAGACCCTCGAGGGTTAGAACTAGATCACCACTCTTGTGAGAGAAGTAAATGTCTCCTTTGGGACAGCAGAGGGAGATAACAGGGAACTGAGTTGTACAAAGACTTTCATGCCCATGTTTGCTCATCTTCAGGTCTTAGAAGTGACTTATAGTAGTAAAGCTAGCAGGTGAATGCAATGTAACTAATTTCAGTATCACATTGTTCCTGCAATAAAAATCATACTAAAACTACAAACAAAACTTCTATTTTATTATTAAAAGAAAAGGAAACTCAGAAAAAGTTGTAATGTGCATTCTTTCTGTATTGATAGACATCTGAAAAGTCAGAATTCTTGATTCCATCACCTGTTAATCACTTGCCAATAGCAGACATGACAATAGTAAAATTCAGCTGCAAATGATTTCCTTGTTGGTAAAACCATTAAAACAGTCCCAGCTTCACAGACCCCTCTCTGCACAGCTTTATAATACTCCTCTCCAGTAGGTCAATTGTTTCTTTCTTTATCTGAAGAAAACAAAAATCAAAGAAAGCATCAAAAGTTACTGATAGTGCTTTGGCTAAACACCATTATTTATTTATTCAGGCACCTTACTATAGGACTAGAACTTAAAGAAGAGGTTCCCACACAAGGTCCTGAGCTTCAGAATGTTTCCACTTTGTAAAAGATCTAGCATTGGCTCTGCAATCCTAAAGTACAACTACGGCTTGTGAAATCTCATCTAACATAGCTACAGAAAAGTAGTCCTTAGTAAGGAAGTGTAAAGCATGCCACAGCAAGAAGTCCATCCTGGGCTGCAAAATCCCTATGGGACTTTCCACACTATCAGCCGGTATCAAGTAGTCCAAGGGCAGTACTGCACTGCAACAACCACAACGTTGTCTGTGTCTGAGACACCTGAATGAAAGTGAGCACGAAGGTCAGGTCTACATCTGCTGCGTGCAAAGTACTTTGGTTTATAACACTGATATGGCTGTAGCTTATTGCTTAAATAAAGATAAAAGACAAATGTATTTGAGAGTAAATATTGACTACATATTTCAGCACGAGCACAAGATTCTCTATCATTACGGCTAGTCCAGAGTCTCCTTATAGCTTCCTCTTCCCATTTACAAAAACTTACTTGCAACTTTTCTCTTGGGTTTATATCCTTCTGTGCCTCTACTTTGCACAGGCATAAATGATGTGAGAAAGCCTGACCAATCTCTGTTCCACACTAGATGTGCTATGTGAGGATGAAAACAGTTGTCTTTCTATCACAAGTCCACTTCTTACAAATGTTTTTACTTTTCATGAAACCTGAAACTTAAACTTTCCCTATTTTCAAACTTACTCAAGGCTTAGCGTTCAAATTGTTTGCAGACAATACAATATTGTTCTTTGTTAAGAAAAAACTCCATTTGAATCTTACAAACAAATAATTTGAGGACTTGAGACAGCTCTGTATTGCTATCAACCTCTATACACAAAGCTTTCAAAGCAGGAAGCGTGTCCTTTGGTCGGATCAGAAAGTGTACAATCAATTTTTATTTAAACCTTTATGCTTTAGTATAACTCCAGTGTGCCAAGACAGAGTCTAATAACCTCATTCACCCCTCCTCTGGTTTCTTTGTGAGCTTTTTTTTTTTATTTCCTTCTCCCTGTTGTTTGGGATGAATGAAGCAGGAGACATAGAAACAGAGAAAAACATATCCAACAGTATTAACTAAAGAAATGTTAAGGTAATTGAGAGAGCAGTGGATCAGGGCACCATCCATTCTGTGGATATGATAAGATACAGGACTGTCATGTGGGAAGATACATGTGTTTTTAAATTCATATATTTATCAGAACATACCACTGTGTACATAATTATCCACTGAAAATAAGGTAAGTACAAAACCAGCAAGTAGAATGGACACCTGCTTCCAGCTGTTCTTGCTTTCTGGTGTAATTACAATGAAATTGAGCAATGCAGCACCTTAAATATGCAAAGAAATTATTGACCATTGAAATTTGCACTGAACATAGGTCAGCATGCCTTGTTCCTAATTTTAAGGGTAAAATTTTGCCCCCACAACTAATACAGGATGAAAGAAATTAGTACATCAAACTGCCAATTCTCTAAATTACATTTTTGAAACTGTAATTCCTCTCTTCTTTCAGAAAACTTACGACTATTCCTAGCATGTATTTGACAACTTTTATACAAGTAGAAGAGTAAGATCCTCTGCTCACAAAGACTGTATTCCATATTTCAAGTCTAAAAGTTGCCAAAGTATTCCATCGGTTTCTACTGTGTTAAGATGCCTTATCTCCAAAATGTTTGGGTATCTTTTATTGCTGACAGTCCTCGTAAGTAATTTTCCGGAATCTGCCTGATGCCTGCAGCAGGCCAAATAGCTGCAAGATGCTCCACTTGCATAGCTCTAGATGTCAAAAATCTTTCTGTATGTTGTGTTACCTCAGCCAAGTGCAGGTTTTAAGACTTTTCTGTAATCACATATTCACTATTCTGTAATCACACATATATATCTATTCCTTATGCTAACACCATATATGAAGGTATAATATTCTTTCTTACTTGGTTTTAACTTGAAATAAGCCTTAACATTTTGATGTTAAGACAGCCTTAAGATTTTGCCTTAAAATGCATCTGGAGTCACAATTTTTGGCCTATGTTGCTAGACAGAAATGCTGTGATGCTACCTACAATGAGCTAAAGGGATAGTTCAGGTTTGCAATAGTCCGAAATCAAATATTAGCAACACAATCTTCATGTATTTGAGGTGGATCACCTATAGTCTACTGTACGTATATTTACTTCAGTTGACTTAAAAAACCATCCCACTGCAACCAGCACCTTTTGTACTGGCAGGTCTGTGAATTCATGTTCTCTGTTCTTTAAAAAACTTACAGAGAAGTGCAAGCACCATACAAAAAAAGCCTTATGTATTAACCACAAGAGGGAACCTCCTTGCCTCAAAAAGCAAAGCTGGTTTTTTTGCCGCTTCATTTCTGCAATGTTTTTTTTTGTAGGGTGCTTTATCCAAGGTTATTAGGAACATGTATCATTGTGTATGTGGGACTGTAAAACACAGCACATTCAAACACACAGACAAGTGCAGAGAAGGCTTAATGACTGATAATTTGTTTCACTTGTGAAACGGCTTAATGTCTATATGCAAAAAAGTCCCTTTTTCCCTGGATATTCTGAATATCAGCCTGCTGTAAATGTGCAAAAAAGTGGCAACACTGTACAGGAAATTGGGAGCTTTATAACTACAACTGATGGAGGAATCTGCCTCTTTCTGCTGGCTAGATACTAGCTGATGCCCCACAGCATATGGTGAACATGCCTTGTCACAGCAATAAATGTGAAAGCTGGATTACAGAATTGAAAAGAATGGGGAATTATCTTAAAAGGAGTCTACAAATGATGGATGGCTCTACATAGTTTGTACCCTACTTCTTACCAAAGGAAAAAAAAAAAAAGGAAAAAAGGGGGGAAAAAAAGAAAAAGGGGGGAAAAAAAGAAAAAGGGGGGAAAAAAAGAAAAAGGGGGGAAAAAAAGAAAAAGGGGGGAAAAAAGAAAAAGGGGGGAAAAAAGAAAAAGGGGGGAAAAAAGAAAAAGGGGGGAAAAAAGAAAAAAGGGGAAAGGAGAAATGTCTGTAGATTTACTCACAAGTTATCTTACTCTCAGATGGAGACAAATGCTTCTCCACAGTTTTATTTGGTTTTTCAGGAAACTTTTGCACAAAGTGCTCTTTACTGAGAGAACTTCCTGGAAACAGGTAGAACAACCATCTAGCACAAACAGGAGACATTCACAGCACAGCCATAGAAGTCACAGCTGTGACTTGCAACAAAAAAGGAAAAAGTCTTCCTCAGGAGGAAATTTTGAGACCTGAGAGTACAGACTTGCTAGTAAAATGTTGACTTCTTTGTGTTTCTAGACCACTGAAGTCAGTTTTACAGAAAGAAAACCTTACTGACCAAGATCTGGGCACTAGAATGAAAAATAATGAATTCACAGAATAACAATATATACAGGTGTTTATACAATACCTCAGGGATATCCATCATTCTCCTTAGTTTCTGATCTCTCCAGTTCCAATCCAGAATCATATATTTTGTGGAGTTCAAGCATAGGCCATCTAAAAAGGCAACATAAATTTTATTATGAAAATAATATGACATGTGCTTATCAAAATGATTTTTGGCTTTTACATTTTTTGCTGTTTCCAAGGCATCTAATCTTCGAACACTTAAGGATTACATTTGCTGGTTGGAAAACTAATGCACTGACACTGCAAACTCCCTTAACCACATAATCCCATGCCTTTTTGGAAGATAAACACAAACGCAGAACAACTACTGTTGCCAGGCTTGTCAAGAGCTAACATTCTGCCAGAAAATAATTCCTCAGGCTTCCTCCTGATGAAACCACAGGAGTTGAATTTCCACAGCTGATGAGGAACTGGTAAGTTACACAGACCCTAGCCTGAAAAGTCCTGTTAATGCGAACTGACAACCTTTAGCAATTTACAGGATTGGGTGCTATGTGAATGTGAGACAGGTCAGTGGTGCTGCTGAAGAATTCCTTTATCCTCCAAATAAATGGTGGTGAAAGAAGAAAAAGGTCCTTTCTGAACTGGCTCTCTAGCTGTTCCCCTATTTTTCCCTGGTCTTCTACATGATGCCCACAATTTTTCATACCAGTTTTGACTCCTCTGCACTCTCTAGTAACCTGGCACCACAACACTAAGGTGTCAAAAAAGGACTAGACCTTAGGATAAGATGATACACCTTGTGTGCTTGCCATAAGCTGCCTCCACCTAACGTGGCAATGTGCTGACGTGTTGAGCAGTAACAATTTCATGTTTGTGGAGAGCACAGGAAGCAACAAAACTATGCTACTCCTGTACCCTTTTGGAAGGAGCGGTAGAGTCCCAACCCACAGCCATTCCTTGACCAAGAAACCACAGTCAGAGCAAGGCAGTGTTTAGAAAGAGGAATGGAAAGAATCACCTTATCATCTTGTCATTTTGTTGTTTGTTTTTCTTTGTGTACATAATGTCTACTGAGTAAGTAAAAGTACTCAAAGTTTGGGAAGAGAAAAGGAGATTTATATACAATAATGAATTTACTTGCAGGCAAATCAGAAATAAAATCAAATCAGCAAGCAGATCTTTTATATATCCGTCACAAAAGTTTACACTGAGCTCAGAGTGACATATGATACAATTTGCCATTGTTTCCTTTTGATTTACTTGCAGTGTTTAGTTTCCTGGGGCTTTAAATCTTACACCATGGTTTTGCAGTAACTTTCAAGTCAGCATAAATCAGTATTCCTGCCAAAAGAGGAAGTGCCCCACCTCTGCCTGCTCATTACCTGCGCACACTGGTTTTGTTTTAATTGGGATCAGTTCTAATTGGGAGCAGTTCACTGAGCTGCCAATCAGACTTTTGCACTAGCATCAGAAGCAGGAAGGGGGACTAAGTTGGCAGTATCTGGGTGGGGGAAGTAGTACTCTGCCTTTCTCTGGTAATACTGATTTATACTAGCTTAAAGTGATCATAAAATCAACTACTAGAATCTTGACCTCATTTTGACTGACATAGTAGAAGTGGAGAAACAGAACTGTACAGTACCCAAATCCAGATTCATGTCAACCTAAGTGCTTCAAAAACACCTGAGGTCTCGTTTCTCATGTGATCAAGTATAAGATACCTATGGAGAAAACCCTCCTTGTTCTCCTACCTTGCTCCACTAGTGCTTTTACTCTCCCAGGAGTTCCAACCCCGATGTGGAACACGCCTTTCTCCAACATATTCATCTGTTCTTTTATCTAATTTGAAGAGAGAAAGATGAACCACAGTAAAACCATGATTGTTTTAAAATTTTATTCTCAAAGAGCTGAAAATAAATTCAAGATCTCATAGTATCTCTTTCTAGAATTCCATCAATTAACAAATGCTATTCATCTTTCAAACTGATCTATCTGGGAGAAAGTTTAAGAAATATGACAGCCAGCTGGGCATCACACTTCTCTAGAAGTTCAGTCATTTTTAACTTAGAAAATCTGCTATTGCATGAACTATTTTTGAAGGCGAGAACAGTATGCTTCCTTCAGCATTTAAACAAATTCTCTGGAAATATCTGGAAAACTGACAAAGTTGAATTAGTTCTAAACTCCTTCAAGATGAAGACACTGGAAAAGGGTGAAATAAAGCAAGTGACATTGTGTGTTTGACAGTATTTATATCAAAGGCTAAATGTCCACTCATTACTTAAAACACCTCCATAATTTGTGCTCTCCAGCAGGTATGGATATTGGGTATTTAGGCATCCAACTGGCAGAATGCAAATGTGCTGGTACAGTTTGCTTCTACAAACCTATGTGTGTGAGCCTTCTATTTAAAAGTTGTAAAAGCCATTTGAATGAGCACTTCACAGGAATGTGGAATGTCTTTAAAACATGACACATGCATAAGCATCTACATTCTGCAAAGGATTGCACCAGAGCTACTGGAGATGGTGTGTGGCTAGATTTCTGAAACAATGGGTTACCAAAGGAAGCATTACCTAAAGAAAGGAACATTAAATGAATGCTATATGAAAGGTACTATTGCTAAATGCTTTAAAAAGAAAATGGTACAACACTAGTTGGTTGTTTAGTTGTTCTGTCAAAATTTGGGTATCCAGGCATCCAAAATTCTATCAAAATTCCCTTGCAGCTCTCTTACCTTTATGTGCTTTGCAAACAACTTGAGAACTCTGCAGTCTCCTTTAAATGCTGTCATTGACCTAGCAATAAAAAAATGGAAAAAGGAAACACAAGCATCAGGGCTGGGATTAAGACCACACAGGAGGGAAGCAAAACTAACTGACATTTCTCAATATGCTCGAGACACAGTCCCCCAGTGACCCCTGCTTGTACTTTGAACGCTATGTACATTCTTGTTTGCTACTTGATCAACAACTGGACAAAAACAAGAAAAGGTATCAGTAGGGGGCAAGATTGTTTGGATAGCTTTTCAGATAATATTTAGTACTTATGGCCTGTGCTTTCACAGCTAACTTCGTTCAAAACTGAATCACCAAATTCTAATTAAAAAATATCTCAGTTACTGAGATATAGGTATGAATGAATGAACGTGAGTGTGCATGCACAAAAGGAAAGATCTGTGTATGGACCAATCTACATTTTACAGAGTCTTCCTGCAGCGTGGCTGCTGGGAAAACCTAGGTTGCCACAGTCTTTACTGCAGAGATTGTCCAAATTCCAGTTAACCAAAAATAATTTGTCAGAAAACCTGACTTGGTTTTCTGATGCTCCATTTTGGCACATAATAACAACTCCATGATCTATATTAATCAAGCAGGAGACAACATATTCAGTAGCTACCAAATGTCATTTAATACAGCTTTCTCTGCATGTTTTTTGCAGTGTGCCAAATTTTCAATTTTCTCTTGTGCAGAGCTAAAGGTTTATATACAATATACATATAGACCATCTATGTCTCAGATGGCAATATCTGCATTCAGGGGCTAAGCACTACAGGCACATCTGCCATACCTATGCTTCTATCTGTACATGGATTCAAACCTCCCGACTCTCCAGCTCATGTTGTAGTGACAGATAATCACAGGAAATGGAGTCAAGACACAAAAGACAACCATGAAATTTGTGAGGTATATATTAATACATTCAAGTAATCAAGACTTCTGGAATGAGAAGGCAGAGGATAGAGAAGGGAAAAAAAGAGGACAGGGAACACTGAAAATTGTCATCTCTGCACAGCAGTTTTGCCAGCCTGATCCAGCTGAGAACATGGACATAGACCTGGAGGCACTCAGGCCAGACGCACACATTTGCACTTGAGGCCCTGGAATGTCACGTCCTCGTTGCCTTTGGTGCAAAGTCACGATTTCTAGTGGTGGATCATGATGCTTTATGGGTTTACTTTGTTCCCAAGTACAACATGTTGTATGCTTCCCCCAAATTGGTTACACTTTATTTTTGGTTTTTAACAACAATAGCACTTCCATACAACTGAAGTACTAAGTGTTACTTCAGTCTAAAACCAAACACCACACTCCCACAGTTTAAAGAAGCAAGGGATATTGCATCAGTTTAAGTCAGTGAATTTGCTGGCTAGCAGAGGACAGTGTCCCAGTTTTCCCTTTATGTCTGTGGTTCCAAGACAAAACCTCTGACTGACTGCCAACCTCAACATAACATTTGCTATCGACATACTTGATGAGTTCCAAGGAACGAAGGGCAGAACTGCAGATAACCAGCATCACCACTGACTTCTTCTCCTTGTGGTTTTTACGGAGTTTTGCCCACTTAGGACAGACTGCAATGAAAAAACCCATGTACAGACACAGAGAAAGTACTACATGCCACAATTTTAAATTACAAGAGTACATGATGAATGGTAGCCAGCAGCAAGAACACACACGCTGACTCCTATGAGGTCTGGATCTCTGGCAACACTTTTACATTTAGTCATGGCTGAGAAATTGGAACATAAAATGCCCAAAATAAATAAAATACAGAAATATCAAATAACTGAACAAATCAGATAAGCATTAAAAATGAACAGATTGTAAGGTGACAAGCCCATTATCTTCGTTCGCCCCATACAGCAATTTGTATCAGAGAAAACCAATTGAAAAGAAACATTTACCAGACCAGAAGTTCTATACAAATATATATAAGAGAATACAAGTTCTCTTGGTTCATGTCAGCGGACAGCTGCAGGATTTTTACTCTAAGATCGTACATACACCTACTTATGAAGCCACAATAAATTACTGACAAATATTCCCTAGTGATTAAAAACAACCCTAGAACATTTTGATACAAAAAAAGTGATAGAGTAAAAGAGTCAGAAAAACAAGACCTGTTATGAAAAAAGAAAAAAACCCCTTAAAGTTATTAATATTTTGTAATTAAAAGTATTTGAAGGTGCAGATAAAAACTGCAATAATATTGCATTAACAATGTTTTTCATACAACTTTCATCTCATCTTAACATTTTAACTCACTTTCCTTCAGGTATGAAGAAAAACTGTGGGTGAGATCATTGGCTGGCAAAAAACAGGAATCTGAAAACATAAAGAAATAAATATTTTGTTGATGTACTTTTAGCAGCAAAAAGAGCATATGTGTTTGCAGCATAACCACTGGTTCTACTGATGAAATCCCAACTGTGCTTAAAAGATGCACTTGACGCTGGTGGGGAAGGGCAGGGGCCACCCTTCCATAAGCATTTTGTGCTAATAGGAGAGCTCTTCAAATTCACCATGGTTCTTTCTTCCCTGTGGCAAAACATCTTTGTTGTTGTTTTGCTCTTCTGAATACATTAAGTCTCATTAATGACTGAATGTGTTGGTTTTGCGTGGCAAGGTTT